CCTCTCTCTCTCTCTCTCTCTCTCTCTCTCTGTTTGTGTGTGTGTGTGCAGGCGGGTGGGGGTGTTTTAGAAACCCTAAAATATGGCAAACGCAGCCTGTCTAGTCATTTCTGGCTTCAGGACTGGTCTTTTGTAGTTTGACTTGGGATGTCATGTAGAAAACGTGGATTTTTAGCATCATAAACCGAAGGACTTTCAAGTTGGATCTGACATTTTTGTCCTGTTACAAAATAATGCTCTTGAATTCAAAAGGAAATGGTACAATTCATACCGTAGCCTGAAGCATTCCGTCGTCGTATTTCCAGACATTAAAATGTTATGGATCAACAGGGGTTTGCATAAAATTAATAGGCAAATTAGTAACAACCCTCAGTTTTTGGATATCATTAAGTAAAAAAGTTTAATGAAAACTCACCCATTCAAACTTCTTTTCTGGAGGACGGTCAGCAAGTAAATCCAAAGGCAGAATAGGGGTTGAATAAGCCTCCTAAAAGCATACACGAAACAACCTTCAATAGTGGCTTATGGCTTAGAGTTATGTGATGGTATGGTTAGACCATATATGAGTATTATAATATACAAATTGTGGATAATCCACACACAAGATGTGTGTGCTATACTTTGCCTCGATTAATATAAAGTTGTTTGGAAGATGTTACTGATGTTGCAAACGAACCTGCAATGCTGCTTTGGAAGGCACACGAAATCTGATGACTGCAGGTGCCCCATAGAAAACTTGTTTTATTTGGCATTCCAACACAAAAGAATGGGACACAGAAGAACCACTGCATAAGGCACATTAACCCAACATGAACGCCAAACAGAAAAGCACTCAATAGAATATAACTGTGGGTTAAAGATGAATGCACAGTGTGAGAAACAACTTCTAATGGCAGGATGAAACCTGGGGTCTGTGTGAGGGGTTGGTAAATTCATGTACCCTTGCTTCTGTCTAGGAAGCAACATGGGGTCTGAAACCATGATTAGGCCCCACCCACCCACCCACACACACACACAAACACAAACACATACAGAGAGAGAGAGAGAGAGAGAGAGAGAGAGAAGAGAGAGAAGTGAAGGGGGTCTTTTGGTTGGGGGGGGGGGGAGGGAGGGATGGAGAGAATGCAATATGCAAAAACGTAACTAGAAATGGTGAAGGAAATAAAGCTGAAGGGACAACTTACGCATCAAGCCTTTCCCATGACTTGGAGGTGCTGCCAGTTATGATATTGAACAACTCAGGAGTCCAACTATCATCAGTCAGGCTCACATCATATGCAGTCCTGAAAAAATTCAGAACATAATTCTCTATTTCAGAAACCATTTCAGCAAATTTTATTTCTACATCTTTCAAGATCTGGGACATCCAAAATTGTGGGTAAAATGCAACAAATAAGTGAGGCATAAAAATCTTTCAGTAATAAATTTAAGACTGTTGGAAAAACTAAGATGTACTCACACACAAGAACAAAAATCTGCGATTAGAAAAAAAACATCATACAGGAATTGTTTAAACCTCCTGTCAAATTCTAAAAAATCATATGCTGGAATGGCAAGCTTATCAAATAATGTATTACATTTCAACAAGAAAGGAATCACTTTATTTTATTCTAATTTGTTCTATTTTATTTACAACTGAAGTGTTGGGTACATATCCCATCACCAAACTGGCTAGATTTCTATAGGATAACAACATCCTGAAGCAAAACAGGCAGTCCAGTAGCTTAGGCTTCTGAATTATTCTAGAAACTTTTCTAAACACACAAGGCACAGTTTTTTTTTTCTGACATGTCAATGGGTATAATAGATAGGAATGGACCCTGCAACTTCACATTGTGGCTCCGCCACCTTGACCATCCAGGCCTCAGGCCCGTACCGCTGAACAGATCATGAATCTCTTTCATGCTTTATTCACTCACATGTCACCACTGTGTTTCACCATATCAAATAGCGGCCCCAATCATTTGATTAGCCCAATAATAGCTTCTATAAAAGGACTTTATAATTTAATAGAATTTCCTAAAGTGAAATGATGGCATTTGGTTAGTTTGAGAATTGAGAGTACACATTAGAGATAAATTTTCCATGTGGGAGATGGGATTTGCACAATCGTGTAGTTGCATTTTGAAGAAATCTGACAATGGGAAATATCTTTAGGCCCACTGAGTTTTGTATATAACCTGTGGGTTTGTGATGAGTTTAGACGGACTAGTCCTTGGTTACAGTCACAAATTGTGCGTTGGGGGTTTTTTTCCGATTGTAGGTATAAAAGAAGGCCATTAATAAGATTTTAAACGAGCCTCAAGGCTTCTCCCTGTTCTTACGTGTGGCTACTGTACTTTAATCTCTTTATAAAAACATTTCCACCTTTTCCCTTGGGGGTGCCTATGCAACCCACTGCCTGTCAGCTGTTCCCTTATTTTCTTAGGGGGCGTGCCTTTGCATGCCACAAGTTGTCAGTTGTTGGCCTTGACTTTCTTATTTGGATAACTAGTTCTTGGAAGAATGTGCAGACGAAAATGCATACACATCTTTCAGATACAAAAGAACCAAGTTTCACTAAAATTTTAAGAAATGCATGCCCTTGCAGACCCCTGGCAAAGAGTTACAGTGAAGGAGAAGACTAAAGGAACTTGGGTCCCCTAAATTCCTCCTTCCAAGCAAACAGCCCACAAAAGGACAAACTTTAATTATTTAATTGATGCTAGAATGGTAATTTAAGATGATTTATAATCATAATGATGCATAATTTCCTTTTTTAACTACAGCTCTTTGTTTATGAATGATAATAAATCTTGGTAGATCTACACTATAAGCCTTTATTTATCAATAGTGCTACATGCTGCTGCATATCACATACTTTAAAAAAGTTCCAAAGAATATTAACATGTAGGAATAACAAGGATTTGGGAGCAAGGTTAGTTTCTACTTTCCCATATGCACGTTTTGTCTACCCAAGGATATGGAGAAATATTCATCGAGCTTTAACAAATTCCAAGACCTGCAATATCTATGGTAAGTCTCACAATATACTTGCAAGATCACATCAAGTGAAGACCCTTCCTCTAGGAGAGGACCCAGTCAAGAGAGGACATGCTTCCACCTCATTTGAATTCCATGCACCCATCAAGCCAGGTCCCTATAGGCTATATAAGCAATCTCCAGCAACTCAAATGAGATAACCAGCCAGCCCTAACAAACCAGGCTTGAAAAGAAGCAACAATCAATGATCATTTCAAGGATCCTTTTGTAGCTTACTTCGAGTCATCAAAGGTCCATTATGTGAAAGCTTATCGCGTACTAGTGCTTTAAAAAACAGATTGATGTGTGGACAATCTATTATGTGAAAGCTTATTGTATACTAGTGTTTGAAAAAGGGATCAGTGGAGTGGGATCATCCACCCACCGATCGTGTGCCAGATCGCTGAATCAGATCCACACGAATCAACAACCTGAAAAAATATTAATAAAATAGATCGGTGCAAAACAACAAGCTGGAAAATATTTTTTTAAAAAAAATAAAAAATTATGGGTTGTGTTTACCAAGATACCTAGGAAAATACTAGAAAAGCAAAAAGAAAAAAAAGAAAGAAACATAAAAGAGGGTTTTTAGGGTGCGGTAGAGGCCAGTACCGATTCCTTCCCGCACCGATTCGGTTGGGGCCGATTATAGGTCCGGATTGGGCAATTCTCGATCTGGACTGCAATTTTTCAAACACTGCTGTATACCATTGTTACATTGTATCGATTTTGGTGCCAAAGCCTTCATCACGCCCAAACTTCTCCCCAAACAAGCACACAGTAGATCATCAATCACTGCTTGTTTCCCAAGCACTATCTCAGGTACCTATGTTGCTGATGATCATGTTATTCTACTCTCTCCAAAGCACCAGAAGGCTGCTAAGAAAAGGACCTACTGGTCATCCCCTTACGAGAGAAACACCAACCTTAACAGGACCAGTTGTAACAATGGTACATTGAGGTACCAAAGGAGGTGAAGGGGGTGCCTTATTAGTTCCTCCAAGAAAAAGCTTCGAGTTCCTAGGTCTAAAAACAAAAATTTATAAACCAATATAAAGTGCACTCTTTACATGTATATTATGATTATACATGCAAAATAAGATTCCTCAGGTATAGTTTTGAAACATGCATGGACAATACAAGCCACTGAATGACATAAAGTGATGGTCTGATAAAGTGTACTACAAGAAATTAGAATCCTAAAAATCCTGCAGTGACTCTATCCTTGGAAGAGAACAACTGAATGGAGGATTTTTATGATTCTCAGATCCTAACATAAACTGGGAAGGTGACGTAGGTTCTACATCTCTTCAATATGTGCCTTCCAAGCACCGGTAAAGTCTTGGGGAACATCAAAAACAAATAACACTTCGATTTGAACAACTTTCCCAGGCTTATGTTTTCTTTTGGGTACATGACACTTCATGGCCTGGCATAACTCCAAGGTCCTAAATTGATCGGAATTCCAAAGCCACATCTTTAAGCGGTGTCTCAGAAACAACTTTTGGTAACTCTGATAGGACCCAAGAGATGTCAAATGGGTCACATAATATGATCATATTACCAAGAAAATTGGCAAGGAATAAGAAAGTCATTAACCAACTCCTCATCTTCATGGTCTATGATGCATACATTTGGTAGAGAGGCCTCACAGTCGGAAGACAATTGACAGTTAAAATCTTGCATAAAATAGCTGGCTAAGACTACAAAGTTGAACCAGACGTCCCAAGACCAATTGACCAAGGAAGCCATTACATCACCCGCATGGAACTGCAAATAGAAAGGACTTAACCAGACTCAACCCAAAACCATCCTTTGATCTTGACAAATGGAATATAGACCTCCTAACCGTATCCAACACGAGACACACTACTTGGCCTCAACATTCATCAAATTCCTACCAAACAAGAAAATACAAAAATGAAATACCCATCCCCCACTCATTCGAAGAACTGTAGGATCCTCGACTTCAGATTACAAACCAAGCTCAGAAGGCCATATAAACAACAACAGAAGGGTATTTTTTGCACCAGACAACCTAGAACCTATCCTGACTATCATTCCCAATCCATATCATCATCCCCCATCCTAAATCAAAAGAATGCGAGGCTAATGTAAAATATAGGACCGTATCACTTAGCGCTAAGACAAGGTTGAAATCCCCAATAATTTTTTTTGCTACTTCAAACAAATTAACCCTTCTAAAAACACTTGTTTCAAAAAAAATATATAGGGGAGAATGGAGTCCCCAATCAAGAGACCTCTACTTTCTCCTCAAGGAAATGCCCCTTGATAAGTTTATTTAAGCAAAGGGGTACATGACATAGACTCCCCACAAAACTTTCCTCGATGATGCTGACTAATCCTGAGAGTTAACGCATCTCTACACAGATCCATCTAAGAAGTTTAAGCGTTTGGCCTTGGATTTCCAATGGAAATAATACCAATAATTGAACTTTAAAAATCTTTTTGACAGTTATACATACAAATGCCAAGGTCTAATCTCATGAATAGAGTTGCAGGCTACCAGCTTCCGCACAAACCAGGTCCTCTACTCTAATTCCAAGGAACCCTTTGGAGCCTAGGGCCATATCACAATCTTTGATGCATTCCTTCAATTTGTAGCAGACCAGAATGGCATCCCTAGAAAATCCAATTTATCTCTTCCCCTTCCAAATCCCCCGAAAATGGTCAATGGAACACCTTTTAAAGGAGACAAGCTCTTTCAACCAACCATCAACTGGCACCCATGAAACATGAGAACCTTTCCCAATAGAGGCATCAGGTAATAGACCTCAATTTTCTATAGAAGAATTATTAACATCCATGGGGACAATGTAAAAGGAGATGGTTCATAGCCTACCTGGTCATGCACAACAACCTTCTCTTCAGAGATGGCCAGTAATGAGAATTTAAATGGTAGCTTATTGTCAGATCCCTTTCTTAGCGTCACGCATGCGGGTGACACCAAGCATGCAGAACTGCCCTCAAAGATGAAAATGTAGGAAATACTTGCAAGTCCTTTACACACTGGTGCTACTTTCGGTGATTTAGCTATCTGCTATCTCCCTAGGCAGACCAGAACTTTAAACCGAGAAACCCATATGCGGCAAAAAAAATGTCACACACCTGGGCTACGCAAGGTCATAGGCAAGATATTGTAGAAGGATGGCTAAGATGATGAGACTTGGTGGACCACCGAGACCAATTTGCTGAGGCTTAGATGTCAACCCATGGGCAGCATGACCTAATAGGACAATAG